AGCCGGCACGGCCCGGCGGCCCCCCGACACGTCCGGCCCCGGCCCCTCACCCGGCCCCGCAGTCTCACCCCTGTCCCCTCTCCTGCCTCCCTCTGCCCCTGAGGAACGCTGCGCAGACCCACCGTGTCCTGCTCCTGTACCTGGCCGGGGGAGACTGACAGTTCCTCCCAAGCTCACTGAAGTGCCACCGATCTGGGTTTGTAGAAACCGGCCCTCACCCTCTGGGGTCGCTACTGGGCACCCCGGTGTGTCCCCAGAGCTCTGCAGGGCAGCCCAGAAGCGTCTTCACCAGAAGACCTTCACCAGAAGGCCTTCACCAGAAGACAGGCCCGGGGCTCAGACCACAGTGACAAAATGCGTGCGCTCAGAGGTCTTAAAAGTTGCACCTGGAGACGGGGGCAACCCAGAGCCAAGTCTAGAGAAGGAAGCCCTGTGACCAAAACCAATCCTTTGGTTTGTGTTTCCATATTTATTTACTTATTTATTTTGAGAGAAAGAGAGAGAGAGAGCGAGCGAGAGAGGAGAGAGAGAGAGCGCAAAAGCGTGCACTCACATGCCACAGAGACAGAGAGAGGAAAAGAGAGAATCCCAAGCAGGCTCCATGCCCAGCACAGAGCCCGATGTGGGGCTCGATCCCGCAACCCTGGGATCATGACCTGAACTGAAATCAAGAGCCGGATACTCAACCGACTGAGCCACCCAGGAGCCCCAGATCCAATCCTTTTTGAGAAAGGACACGAAGATCCCAATAGCGGGAAGTGAAAAAGAACCAAAGAAAGTTAGACAAAGTGGGGAATGAAAACAAAGGCATTACAGAGGCCCCATGTGCCCCCTCAACCTGAGATCACAGAGCTGCTCCTATGGGCATGTGACTCTGGGGACCATTCTGAACAGTGACACTGGTGAGGTGAGGAGTGGGTGGGGGGATGGAGTCTGTGACTATCTGTTGGGGGAGATAAAGGGCCCACGACCGCCCACACCCCTTCTCAGAGGAGAGCCAGTGTATGCAATCACGGGGTCCACCAGGACAAGGGAGGAGGGGTCCAGGACCCCTAACCAAAGGGGCCCAGCACGACACTAGGGCAGGGGAATCCCAGCCTCTCAGCAAGCCTAGAACTGGAGGCATGGAAAGGGGAAACCAGTCGGAATCCTGGCGGAAGGGAAGCACAGCCCACCTCTCTCCTGCTCCTGCCCGGGCACGAGGTCCCTGGATGTGCCGGACACACGGCCCGCATAAGCAAAAAACCAGGGGTAAGACGAAAGCGCTCTGTGACCATCTTGTCCCGAACAAGTCAGCACAAACACCACCTCCCCCGGGAAACCTGCCGGCTCCTGCCGGGGGCCAAGCAGACCCCGGACACGCATCTGTGGCCTTGCGGTAATGCTCGCTTGGGCCGGGACCGTACCAGGCTCTGTGAAAGGAGACGGGCTTCTTCCTTCCTATCCTGGATGCCCGTTGTTGAGTCTGGAGCTGTGTACCACACACCCCTGACCCACACTGACCAGGACCCTTGTATTCGTGAGCTCAAAGACGTCCGCCTCGTGACCCACAGCACCCCAGAGGACCAGGAGGCAGAGGAGCCTCTTTCGTTCGGTCACTCTGTTCCCCCGGGAAACGGCCACCGTCTAGGAGCTCGGGGCAGGCCGCCGACGCGCAGAGGGCGAGGACGGGGGCCTACCTCGCACACGGTGCAGTGCCAGCGCGTCTCCACGTGGTGCTTGCACTCGTTGCAGGTGTAGACGAACCGGTCCTGGCCCTGTGTGTGC